ATGCATGTATATAATAGTGTCTATACATCTATATACGTATGTAGATATATACATGTATACATGTACACATGCATACATATACATATACTTGTATATATATATATATGTATATATACATAAATATACATACACATGTAAACGTATATGTATGTATATATGCTCGTCCCCCCGCCCCCCTCCCCCACATGATCATACACATTCTCCCTTCATCCCTCCAGTCCTCCCTCACCTTTTCCTCCTCCTGCTCGTCTTCATTATGTTTTGCTACGTTGCCAGCCGCAATCTAATCGATTGCAATCTAAGCCGATGTAACCGAACGCAGTGCACGCCAAGGGATTGGCACCGACTCGAAGGAAAGCCCAAGGGTTGCATTCCAAACATTTAAATGCGAAGCGATTGCAATCTTGCGTGGCGCATTGCAATCCAATCGGCTGCGTCGCAATCGATCACTCGGAATCCTTTTGTTGAAGATCCTCTCCACCCTCCCCCCCTCATCCTCATCCGCCTCATCTTCCTCCTCCTCCTCTTCCTTCTCATCCGCCTCATCTTCCTCCTCCTCTTCCTTCTCATCCGCCTAGGTCCCCTTGCTGTGAAAGGTTTCAACACGAACCCTTATGTAGAGGATTTCTATAGGACTCCTTCTGTGAAGGATTTCAATAGGAATACTTCTGCGGAGGATTTCAATAGGATCTTCCTGTGGGAGATTTCAATAGGAATCCTTATGTGGAGGAGTTCCTCCTTCCTCCTCCTCCTCATCCGCCCCATTTTCCCACACCCTCCTAATCCGCCTACTTCTCCTTCTTGTGAAGGGTGTCACCCTGCTGTGGAGGATTTCACTGGGAATCCTTCTGTGGTGGCGTTCAGTAGAAACCTTTTCCTCGTCCGCCTCATCTTCCTCCTCCTCCTCCTCATCCGCCTCATTTTTCTTTTCGTCAAGGAATTCAATAGGACTCCTTTGAGAAGGGGGCAGGACGAAGGGCGAAGAGAAGGAGTAGGAGGAGGATGAGGAGGAGGAAGACGAGGACGAGGAGCATGACGAGGGTGAGGCGCAACACATTACTCACACACCTGCTTGTGGAGCTGCGTTCGCAACTGAATTTGTGAGTAACGCCTCGAAGCGGAGAGCAGCGGGCAGAATGAACAGGAGCAGGAGCAAATAGGAGGAGGAGGAGGAGGCAGGTGAGGAAGAGGAGGGTGGGGAGGAAGAAGAGGAGGGTGAGGAGCATGACGAAAATGAGGAAGGACAGGTTACTCACAAAGGTAGTTGTGGAACGGCGTTCACAACTAGTTTTGTGAAAAAACATTCGTAGCGGAAGGTTACTCGCAAAACTTGTTGTGGAGCTGCGTTCACAACTCGATAAGTGAGTAACGCCTCGAAGAGGAAAGGAGGGGGCAGAATGAACAGGAACAGGAGCAGCAGGAGGAGGAGGAGGGTGAGGAGGAAGAAGAGGAGGGAGAGGAGCATGACGAAGGTGAGGAGGAACACATTACTCAGAAAACTAGTTGTGGAGCGGCGTTCACAACTAGTTTGGTGAGCAATGTTTCGTAGCAGGAGGTTACTCGCAAAGCTTAACGTGCAGCTGCGTTCACAACTAGGTTAGTGAGTAACGCTTCGAAGCGGAGAACAGCGGGCAGAATGAAGAAGAGGAGCAGGAGCAGCAGGAGGAGGGTGAGGAGAACGAAGAGGAGGGCGAGGAGAACGACGAAGGTGAGGGGGAACACATTACTCAGAAAACTAGTTGTGGAGCGGCGCTCACAACTAGTGTTGCGAGTAATGTTTCGTAGCAGGAGGTTACTCGCAAATCAAGTTGTGGAGCTACGTTCACAACTAAATTTGTGAGTAACGCCTCGAAGCGGAGAGGAGGGGGCTGAGTGAAGAGGAGAAGGTGGAGGAGGGGGGAGGAGCAGGAGGAGTAGGAGGAGGAAGAAGAGGAGGGTGAGGAGCATGACGAAGGTGAGGAGGAACACATTACTCACAAAACTAGTTGTGGAGCGGCGTTCATAACTATTTCTGTGAGAGGTTACTCGCAAAACTAGTTGTGGAGCTGCGTTCGCAATTAGATTTGTGAGTAGCGCCTCGAAGCGGAGAGGAGGGGGCACCCCCTCCCCCTCTTCCTCCTCCTCCCCCTCTTCCTCCTCCTCTTCGGAATCAGCGAAATCGCCGAAAAGCTTCAGAAAACCTGAAAAACCAAAGAAGCTCCAAAAACCATCATTGCGGGAAAACCTTGCCGTGCCGGCCCCTCTCCCCAGAAGTTCTCCCGAAATGATGTTTTGGGGGGGATTTCTCTGAAGCTTTTCGGTGGTTTTCGCGATTTCGCTGATTCCGAAGAGGAGGAGAAGGAGGAGGAGGAGGAGGAGGAGGGAGAGGAGGGACAGGGGGAGGAGAAGGAAACGGAGAGTGAAGATATCGATCGGCGGCCGCGGTAGAGACGAACATGTATGATCATGTGGGGGCGTCCATTTACACATGTATATATATGTATATATGTATATGTGTATGTATATGTATATATATGTATATATACATATATGTGTATATATATACATGTAGATTCACACACACACATGCACACACATATATATATACAGAGAGAGATCCTGTATATATATATATATACATAGATATACAAGGCGATTCACTGCAAACAAACATGTTGAAGGACCCGCAAGGCGCATTAATTCCCAGAAGTGCACAAAAGCATGCAAACATAGGCAAGACAGAGACGGAGACAGACGCACACAGAGAGGTGCGAAGGAGGGACATACATGTTCAATGACAGCAACAGCGCCGAGCGCCACGCACGCGGGGAAACACAGCGCCATGCGCTCGCCCTGTCGCAGAGCAGCGCGTCGTGCTGAGCGAGGTAAGCGCGCGGGGTGACATGGCGCGCCAGAAGCAGCTGAGGATGGATTGCCACTGGGCCACGCGGACAACAAAAACAATGCCACAAGCTGCGCGGCGCAGCGGCTCCCTGCGAGCTGCGATGCGACAGCGCCGAGCGCTGCGTGACGGGACAGCGCCGCGAGGTCCCAACTGGATCCCCGTATAACTCTACTCCACGCGACCTCCCAAGAGCCAACGAAAATGGCGACAATTGCGAATTGCGAGGTCCCAACTGGATCCTCGTACTACCCCTCTCCGCACGACCTTCCAGCAGCCCACGGGAGTGGCAACAGTTGCGCCCTTCGCACCTCCCCAAAGAGCCGCGAAGTCCCAACTGGGTCCGCGTACGTACCGCTCCACTCCGCGCGACCTCCCAAGAGCCCACGAGAGTGGCGACAGCGCAACCTCCCAGGAGCTCACCGACAGTTGCGCAATTCGTAGCCACGCAAGGAGCCGCGAGGTCCCAACTGAGTCCGCGTACCACTACACTCCGCGCGACCTCCCAGGAGCCCACGAGAGTGGTAACAATTGCGCGGTTCGCAGCCACGCAGGGAGCCGCGAGGTCCGCCTACCACTCCACTCCGCTGGGCCGCCCAAGAGCCCACGAAAGTGGCGACGGTTGCGCAACTCGTAGCCACGCAGGGAGCCACGAGGTCTCGACGTGGTGTGCGTGACTACCGACTCCGCTGGACCTCCCAAGAGCCCAAGAGAGTGGCGACAGGGAGAGTCCCGCACGAAAGTGGCCAGGCGGCGCAAGCAGGACGAAGGAGAAAAGGGACGAAGAAGAGGAGGGAGAGGAGACAGCAGGCAGGAAGCAGGAGGCAGGAGGCACAGAGGGGGGGGGAAGGAGGAGAAGTGGAGACCACAGAGCTCTTGTCGTCTCGAGAACCCGACCAAAGAGGGCTGGGGGAAAAATCTACGTTCCACGACTGGCGTGTGAGAGCCACTTTCAGTCAGAAGCCGGGCGCCGACCACTGGCACGCTGCTTGGGCCGAACGTGCGCTCACACAGTGTCAAAAGATGCACGCGCCCCTGCGCTGCAGCGGTCGTGCCATACGCTGAAACGACGAAGGGATAACAGCCACGGAAGTGCCACCAAGTTGCCCGACGGCGCTCCGACATGCGATGGGCCGAGGTACAGCCACGACGCCCACTATCCAGCAAACGAGTTTACAGGGCCTCTCCAGACTTTGGGTGCCTGCCAGCCAGCAAGCGGTCCATGGCCACCTTGGGCCCACATTCGGACCGCTCCCGACGCTGAAACGACGATCGGGCAGGAGGAAGAGGAGGGGGAGGAGGAGGAGGAGGAGGAGGAGGAGGAGGAGGAGGAGGAGGAGGGAGGAGGAGGAGGAGGAGGAGGAGGAGGAGGAGGAGGAGGAGGAGGAGGAGGAGGAGGAGGAGGAGGAGGGGGAGGAGCAGGGTCAAAAAGAACCAAAGGTCAGATCATTCCTGTAAGCGCGTCAACGCGTACGCACATTGAGCCCATTGCAGATCAGACCGGCCGCGCCCCCAGACCAATGGCTCGCATACCAGCAACTTTAGGCAAGCCGAATTGGGAGACCGACCGGCTCCCGGTTCCCCGTCCTCCTCCTCATCCTCCTCTTCCTCCTCGACCTCCTCCTCCTCCTCCTCCTCCGCCTCCTCCTCCTCCTCTCCTCCTCCTCCTCCTCCTCCTCCTCCTCCTCCTCCTCCTCCTCCTCCTCCTCAACCTCCTCCTCCTCCTCCTCCTCCTCCTCCTCCTCCTCCTCCCAAGGCTGGGCCAACGGTGTGGTCTGGATTCTGGTTCCTGCGGGGCACAGAAGGGGCCCCTTTTGAAAAAGCGCAACCTTGCTACGAAGCAAATTCCAAGATCAGCCTCGCCTGCAATGCCGAATCGCACCACGCCGTTGCGGGCCACGCCGCTCGCCCGCCTCTTGTCCCCCCTCCCCCGTCCCCCTCCCCGTCCGCCTCCCCCTCTTCCGACTGCCCTGGACAGATCAAGGCCCACGGGGCCCTCGGAACGTCCCGAAACCCTCTGAACGTCCTCGGAACATCCTCGGAACGTCCTCCCGCCCACGGGGCCCTCGGAACGCCCTCCTGAACGTCCCCTGCCGCCCCCCCCCCGCGCGGGGCCGTCCTCGCGGTTGCCGCCCTCGCGGAAGCGGCCTCTCGGGGAGCCCGCGGGGAGGGGCCGGCGCGGCAGGCCCGCGCCGCGGCTCGCGAGCGCGGCTCGGCGGCGGCGACGGCTCGCGCCGCGCCTCGCACCGGCGCGGCGTCGGGCGGGCCTCGGCTCGCCTCGGCTCGCGGCGCGGGCGCGGCTCCTGCAGGCCGGGGGGGGGAGCGCGGCGAGCCGGGAGGGGGTCGGGCGCGAGGTGGGCATGCGAGCGGCGGGGAGCGGGGCGTAGCGTGAAGTCGGGCCTGTCCCCCATACAGGGGGATCTTCGACGAAACATAACACATACCCCACAAATGATCAAAACAAATGTCAAAAACTAGGCTGGGGGAAAAATAATCAAAAAATTGTCCAAAAATAGTCAGGGGACTATTTTTGGAATATTTTTAAACCCTTTTGGGGCATTCTTAGAGCATTCTTTATTTTTCGTTAAAAATCCCCCTGTAGGGGGGCAGGCCCGACATAAGCGTAGCGAATCGGGCCGTGAGCAGCCGGGACGGGGCAGGGGCGAGCCCTGGGGGGAGCTGCGCCCTGGAAGGAGCGGCGTCCCAGAAGGCAGGCGGAGAGGCTCGTTGATCCCCGCTGCGGGCAGGCGCGGATTTTAGCAGGGACCGAGCGTCCCGGCATTCCTATAGGCCTACCACGACACTCTCTGAGAACATCATACTGTTCTAAGGGCTACAACATCGTCGTTTAGACCATACAGCACATGTGTGTTCACCAACCAGAAGCGTTCTAAGAACATTCCGTGCAAACCACAAGATGTGTTTGTAACATCCGTTGGTGGGCCTATAAACACGTCAGGACGCTTCGCCACTGCTTGAGAAGAGCCTCACCGCTGCGGCTTAGGAAACGAGAAGGCACCGATACCGCTGCTCCATGGACCTCTCGTGGGGTGCTTTGAGACCAGCATCTCTGGGCGGACCCAGCCGCGGCGACGAGGGCCTCCTGCGAGGCCCAAGGGAACCAGGACCGATCCGGCAAGTGCAGCGGCATCGGCATCGGGACGAGTCAGACGAGTGGCCGAGCAGAGCAGGCGCCAACTCACACCTCCTCCTCGGAGCGCTCCGCTCCCGCGGGCATGGCGGCCAGAGCCTCTCGCTGCAGGCCTCGCGCGCCGCGCTGCCTCCCGCGCGCGGCCGCTTGGCTCTGCGGCGGGGGGGGCGCCTCGCGCGAGGGGCGCACGGGCGCGCGCTGCCGGGCCGCGGCCCCGAGCAGAGGCCGGCCGGGCGCAGCAGCAGCGCACTCCCTGTGCTTTTTGTCGGCTTCGTGCGCGTTTTTTTCTCGCAGGATGCTCCAGGACGCTCCTTGGTGCTCCTTGCCGAGATCAAAGTGCACACGCCCGAGCGATACCAAGCGGGGTGCCGGCGCTATTCGGGCGCCCCAGGGAGGGGGGGGGGAGCGGAGACGGCGGCTCCCGGCTGCCTCCCCTCCCAGGGGGCGCCGGAGGGAGAAAGGGGCCCGGGCGACGCAGTGTCCGGAGAGGGAGGGGGGGAGGGGAGGGGAGGGGCGCAGGGCCTCGGGCGTCTCTGCTTTTGCGGCGCGGGTCCCCAGAGCTCGGGACCACTTCCCTGGGGGCTGGCTTGTCGTCGCGGAGGGTCTCGTCATGCTCCTTGGGCCTGGCGAGGGCCCCCACACGCCGAGAAGCAGGTCCCAATACGTTCGGGGCTTGGGGATGACCGTTTTTGTTTCTTCCCCGTGTAACGGTCGTTAGCGGGGAAGGGGGAGTCGGGCGGGAGGGTAACGGTAACGGCGGCCGCGGCGTGCACCCGCCAGGGTGCGTCCGCGCCACTGGCGTATCAATCGTCTGTGCGCACCAGAGCATGTAGGGCGAGGGGGAGGTTAGCCCAGGTAACTTACCCTGGAGATCGGCGGCGAGCGAGGGGGGGAAATGAGAAGGAGAAGGCCTTCTCAGAAGGCGACAAGACTTCTCAGAAGCCCTCGCGCCTTCCGAGAAGTTATCTGCGTCTTCGGGGAAGGCTCAGAAAACTTGTCAGAAGGTCGGGGGACTTCCGAGCCTTCGGAGAAGGCCTTCTCCTTCTCACTTCCCCCCCTCGCTCGCCGCCGAGGAGAGGAAGAAAAACGCTCACAAACTGAAGTCTCAATACGTTCGAGGTCTGGGGAGGAGGGGAGGGCGGCAGGCGGGTGCGCCTTTGCCCTTCCCCTTGTCGTCCGGCGCGGAGTTGGCGAGCGCCCGCATCTCCTCCGACGGGCGAGGCCGAGGGAGAGGAGGGAGTAGGAGTACAACCCCTGTCAGAACTAAATTGAGACGCCGCTTACACTCGAAGCGCCCGATAGTTTGGGCACTTGTCGAAAAACGCGTTCTTCAATGCTGTGAGGGCACTGCCGGATTTCGGACACCCCCGCGTGTGGGCGGAACACCTCATGCCAGTATTGAAGTAGCGCCGACCGCGCAAGTGCCGAAAACAAAAACCGTCAGCTGATATTTGACGAGTCTTGTAGGAGCCAGTGGCGATGCAAGTTGCGGTCGGACTTTACACCTCGTTGCCCCGCTGGACCTTCTCGGCTCGGCCGAGGACTTTGGGGGTTCCGAGCTGGTCATATTCGATCCATGTTTTTCTTATGCGTGGAGGTCAGCACGCGGGTACACCGTCTCTCCAGCGCACGCAGTTGCCAGTTATAGCAACTGCCCCAAAAACTGCCACCAAAAACAACAGAAACTTCGATGATGGCGCACGTCAAGGAGGCGGGAGGGGTGAAGCCAGCCCCCCCCCCCGCAACAGGAGTTCGGGACCCAGCCGACGGGAAGCGATCACACCATCGACGTTGACCAGCCGCGGATACGAGAAGCTCCCAAACTCCCATCGTCGCGGTCAGCGAGGCGGGAGGGAAGGCAGGAGAAAGAAGTAGTGGCGCGGGAGGGAGGAAGCTGGGAGCTGGAAGCTGAGCTGCCTCCAAGGATGAAGGGACCCTGGGACACACAAACAAATAGACACAAATAACAGGATCCCCCATATTTTCCCCTAGTTTCTTGGTTTTTGTCTTCCCCCCCACTTCCCATATTTTCCCATGTCTTCCTGGGAGTCGACGATTCATTGTGTCTGTGTGTTTTTCCCCTCCTGAAAGGAGGCATGTCCGAGAATAAACAGACAGGGGACAACGCAAGAGAACTGAGCACGAATTGGCCAAGCAGCCCGGGACACGAAGCTCGTCCACAACATCGAGACCATCAACAACACAATCGTCGAAATCAGCACGGGGAGGAGAGAGGAGCATCAGAGGGAGGAGAAGTCCGAGGCGGGAATTTATCCACATCCACCGCCTCGAGGGTCAGTTTTCGGAGCCTCGGCAGGCGGTGGATGTGAACATATTCGGGCCCGCGGGGGCCGAAATATCTCCATATCCACCGCCCGCTGGGGCACCAGGGCGTCGGTTCCCCGGCGGTGGGTATGGATAAATCCCCGCCTCGAAGGGGGATGGAAGGCCTTCTGGTAGGCTGCAGGTACTGGGGGGCTCAGGAGCTTCTGGGCGTTCTAGGGGGTCCATCGGGTATGGCTGGGAGGGCGGGGAGCAACAAGAGGAAGGGAAGGATGGGAGAGGAGTGGGATGAGGAGGGAAGATGAGAAGGAGCAGTGACAGTGAGAAGTGGAGCTTGGGAAGGGGAAATGGAGAAAACGGTTGATGGACACAGTTCTGTACCCCTGATCTTGCCTTGTGTGGCCACCCCTCGCGCCCCCAACTCAATCTTGGCGGGCTGCGCCGCGAGGTGTCGATCTGTCGACTGGCCGAAAAATCATGCGCCCCACTGGCGATGCCAACCAACATGGCATCGGGGGCAGGGGTAGGGCGACGAAATCTACAGATATCCACTGCTCCATGGCCAGGCCCATACTGAACCCAGCAGCTGTGTATACGCCAAGCCCTCCTGGCTTGGCCAGGAGGGCTTATACATAGCTTCTGGGTTCAGGATGGGCCTGGGCAGGGAGCAGTAGATATGTATAGATTTCGTCGCCCGAAGGGGGGCGGGTTCAAGTTTGCGCAGGCACCTTGGTCGCGCAGGTGGTGCAGGGCTGTCCATCAACCCCAAAAAAGACGGGACCCCCCTCCCGCCGACACAACCGCCCCCATGGTTGCGCCAGGTCGAGCCCGGAGATCTTCGGCCGGCTGACTGAAGTCAAGTACCGTGCGGAGTGGCTCAGTCTCGCCGCCGCGGAAGGACAGGACGGAGAAAGCGGGCAAGCTTGCATGGCAAGATGTGCCACCAACTTGCCTCGGTGAATCCCTGCTTCCGTTGCCGTTTGCAGCACTGCAGCACCAAGGGCGCCCAGGCGGCACTGGACGAAGCACCCATCCTTGTCGCAGGGTGGAGGCTTCAGAGGAGGAGGAGGAGGAGGAGGAGGAGGAGGTCAAGCAGAAGGTCCGAATGGAGAGTGGAGCCGGTGAGAGGGCGGACGTGCAGACATGGGGAGGCGAGGCGTCGGGAGCCCCGGTGGGGTCGGGGAGGCACGTCGCGCCAGGGGAGAGAGCGGCCGAGGTCCTCGCTGATGGGCTGCCCCGTCTTCTCCATCACGCCCATGATGCCTTTGGCCTCAGCGCTGCCCGCCGAGCTGTTTCAGCCCGACTTTTTCCAGGAGGGGAAAAAACACACAGACACGATTCATCGTCGACCCCCAGGAAAACGTGGGAAAACGTGGGAAGTGGGGGGGGGAAAACAGAAACCCCGAAAATATGGGAAACCATGGGGAATCTTTTTATTTGTGTGTATGTATTTGTGTGTCCTGGGGCCCCTTCATTTTTTCGACGCACGGGATCGACATCTGGCCGGCCAGCCCGCGAAGTGGTCGGAGCAGGCTGGAGGTGCGTGGTTCAGGCGAGCGCGCCAGCCGACGCACGGCAAGGTGTCGAAACAGACGCCTGGGATGCACTTCAATCCACCTGGCTACACAGCCTGGTATTGACGATGACGCTACCGCCTGGCGGTACGCAACTCAGCGGTGGCCTCACGAATAGTTTCGTCGTTCGTGCACCTCCAGCCCGGGACTGCCGTGTGCTCCCACATTCCGACTCCTCCTCCTCCCTCCCACTGGGCCCCCATTGGGCCCACCTAGCACCTGGCAGCGCCTCGGATACTCCTGGGGGCTTTTGAGGCGCGACCCAGGGACCTCTCAGCACTGTCTTGGGGTACAGTCGGGGCGTTGACCCAAGGAACCCTAAATAAGGAACGAGGACCCTTTTTTCATGAATTGAACTTCGACTTCCCATCGAAAACCTGCGGAAAACCAAAGGCGAACTGTAAAACAACTAAGGAACACTGAGCCCCTCCCCAACGAAAAGAGTTCCTTCTTCAGCGCCTCGACGGTATGCGGGCATCTTGTGAGCTCCTTGGGGCCTTTCTGACGCCTGCCAGCCTGTCGGGGGAAGCCATGGCACCATCGCGGTCCCATGCAGGGCTCGTCCTTGTCGGAGCCAGCTGGGCCCCCATGGTTACGTACCTACGTTTCCCACGTCCAGGAGAGCATGATGAGCCATCTTCGGCGATGCACAACTTCTCGGGTAGTCTGCTTGGGACAGGCAAGGCCTGTAGGCCATCTAGGTGCATTCCTGCATCTTTGGGGCGTGCCCTCAAGACCTCTTCGGTACATGCCTCTTGGGGCAGCGGAGGCGTCAATCCCACCAGCCCTTTGGGAGTAGGCGGTTATGGAATTAATTATTCCAACCTCCTCGTTCCCTTTGGGGCGAGGTTTGCCCCTCCCGAGCCCCCATTCCCTGGGTCTGGAGAGAGCGTCCCACGAGTCGTCGGAGCGTCCAAGATGGCCCCAAGACGGTCCCAAATAGGCCAAGATGGTCGTCAAAATCGCGCAATATATTCCAAGATGGCTCCATATAGATTCCAACATGCCTCAAAAAGGCGCCATGACCGTCCCAAGACGACTCCGAGTGGCCACAGAGCCTCCTAAAGATCCCCACCAGAGGCCCAAATCCGGCCAACACCTACAGAAGATGCTCCTCCTCCTCACCATCATCCTCTTCGCCACCCACCTCCTTCCATGCCACTGGTTTCTGGAATCAACGGCGCTCTATGCTCAGCCGCTTGCTCTACCAGACCATCTACCAGACCGTCTGCCACCATACTTGCGATAAACACTATGCATCAAGACTCCCAATTCAGACACGCGAGAACGACCCGTCCTAATACTCTGCCATGCAAGCACGAATACAAAGCGAGGTAACGATCCGCCATACGGCGTGCAGGAATTACGGTATGGAAACGAACACAACTCAGGTCGGCAACAAACTTTGCAAACAGTCTGCCCACCAAACCTACGATCCCTTGCAAACCGTTCGCTGGGATGGCCCACCATGCAACCACGAATGAGAGCAAGCTGCCACTTCCATGCGCTCGTGTTAAGAGGCTGCCCCCGGCGAGGAGCTGTGGCATCGCGCATCGAGGCCTCGATGCAACCTCTCAGTGCCAGCAACGATAACCCTGCGAGTGCTAAAGAATGCGCGGGAGACGGTTGGAGGACAGCGCGACCAGATCATCAGGATGCCCGGTGAAGCTGCACGGCCCTTGGACGCCCAAGATGAAGGCGAGGTTGGAAGCCCACGGCTAAGGTTAGGTCGGGCATGTCCTCCTACAGGCGGATTTGGGGGGAAAGATTCAAAATAATCGAAAAATGATCCCAAATAGTCAAAAGTAGTCAAAACATCGTTCCCATACTATTTTCTTGCTATCTTGAAACGCTCCCCCTGAAGAGGGACAGGCCCGACTCAGGGCAAAGGGCGAGGAGGGGCCGAGAGGCCCGGCTGCGAAGGCACCCTTGGAAGGCGACTCGTCCTCAGAATCCCATCCTGTCTGACCGTATACAGCCACCGTGCTGCCCGAAGGAAGGCCGAATAGGGAAGCAGGGGTCTCTTCTGACCACCGCGAGCCTCAGCTGCGATGCGGCTCCCCGACCAGGAGCCGAGGGGCGGCCCGACCAGCAGAGCCCCTCCCGAGCCCGAGGCGGCCCGCACCTGAGCATCTTGACTGCAATCGAGCGGTATCTGCCCGCGCGCCCAAACAGACTTTTTGATCTGCGGGGCGAGAGCGAACCTCTTCCGCTAAGAGCTAGGCGGGCTACGCACAGCTTTAATCAGGGAGACAGGGCGCAGGAAGGCGGGGCCTCGGGCGGCCGGAGCGGGCGAAGCCCGGGGTGCAGGCGGTGCCGAAGTGAATGTGCAGGAGCCCGCGCGCCCAAACCGACGCTTCTGCTTTTTGTCGGCAGCGCCTTGGATCCAGTTTGCGGTCGTGGCTGCGGCAGGGCTGCTGCGGTGCAGAGTGAGCACTGCGGCCAGACCTAGGACAGAAGACCATCCTTCTAGAGCATGAGACCCTCCGCTGGCCAAACCGAAGAACATTTCCAGGGTGCCCTTCCCCAGGATACGCAGAAACATTCATCGGAGGCCTGGAAATTGGCACCAACACCAAGACAGAGGGCTGCCTCCACAGGGGGAAATATGATCCTAGATTTCGGTGCTGGTGGCAATCTTTCGGCCACCTTGGAAGCCAGAAGATTACCACCATCACCGAGATCGGGATCCTCTTCCCTCGGTGGATGCACACCGCCGATGCTGGTGTTGGTGCCAACCTCTAGGCCTGCGAGGGCCCCGAACCGACCTCGGTGCTGCACCGCGGGCCGACCCGCAGGCGGAGGGAGGAGGGGGGGGCGCCTGGAGACGCAGAAGAGGCCCCCCCGGCGAGGGGCGGCCCGGCCCTCGGGCCATGCTCGTGCGTCCCTTCGTACTCCTCCTCCTCCTCCTCCTCCTCTCCTCCTCCTCCTCCTCCCTCCTCCTCCTCCTCCTCCTCCTCCTCCTCCTCCTCCCTCCTCCCTCCTCCCTCCTCCCTCCTCCCTCCTCCCTCCTCCCTCCTCCTCCCTCTCCTCCTTTCCCTCTCCTCCTCCTCCTCCTCCTCCTCCTCCTCCTCCTCCTCCTCCTCCTCCTCCTCCTCCTCCTCCTCCTCCTGCACGCGCTCCCGCGCGCGCCCCCGTCCTCCCCCTAGGGGCTAAGCCGCCGGCCTTGAAGCCCTCGTTCGCCGTGAGGAAGGTTACGGCCGTGCCCTGACGCGGACACGGCTGCTCTCCCCCCCCCCACCCGAAACTGCTGCACCCCGGGCACCCCACCACCCAAAACACGGCAGACTCGCGCCGTGACGACCCCCTGCGTCGGTTTCTGACACCGCGCGGATCGTTCAGCCTCGAGAGGTCGGCGGTTTTTCTCGATCAAAAGGTGGTTCCGTCTTGGCCGATTCTGGGCCACTGGCGGCGTTCAAACTGGAACGCCGCCGGCGGGGTCGCTGCCGCGTCGGCACGACACGAACCGATCGTACACGCTGTCCTACCTCTCCCCACTCTGTCTCTCTTTCCCACTCGTCCGTGCTCGGGGGAGGGAGGAGCGGGGTTGGGGGTGGGAGGACAGAGGGAGGCCCCAGCACACTCACTCGATGAATTTTTCCTCCACCCAGCCCTTAGGGATCAGGAGGGACGGAGGCGCTGTGGCATTGTTGTTAATTTCCCTTTCCCTTTCGCATGTGCGTCTCTATGTATGTGATGATGTCCACACTCCATACGTGTCGCACACCTCTGCCCGCCACTGGAATAAACGCTAACACATTTCGATACAGAATGCACCCTTGCGGCAGAATTTCCTAAACCGCTTTGAACATGGGCCAGAGAGAGGGGCATAAAAGGAGACACCCAGAATGAACACAGTATAGCATACCAGAGTGGTAGTAATCCGTCACCGTGCCTCGGGCACGAAGTGGAGTGTCGCCGAAAGATCACTCCAAGAAGCCCAAGACGGCCTCCAGACAGCCCAAGGAGCCTCGAAGACGCCCCAAGAGGCCTCCAAAAGCACCCCAAAAAGGCCCGATCCAAGAAATCTGCACGACCCTCGGAAAGTATGTTTGGACGCCCGAAATTGGCAAGGAAAAAACCGATACGATGCTCAACAAATATTGTCCAGAGCCGACAGCGGCCGCCGTTGGGCGGGCGGCCTTCCGCCTCGAATTGACAACGCCCGCGGGCGACGCCGGCAGCGAATCCTGCTCAGAGTGGACGAAAACTGTTGTCGCGGTCTTCGTGCCCGCTCTGTGCGTACCCATCTCGATCGCCATTGTACCGTCCGGGCGAATCGCAGAAAGTGCACAGTCGGGGCGTTGACCTAAGGCGCCCGAAAGAAGGAACGAGGCCCCTTTTTCCCGCAAGTTAAACTTTGCTTTCCAATCGAAAACCTCAGGAACACCTGAGGCAAGCTGCGGAACAATTAAGGAACACCTAGCCCCTCCCCAACGAAAAGGGTTCCTTCTTCAGCGTCCCGACTGTCTGTTTATGTAGAAGCCTCCCACCATGGGTCGGAGGATCACTCCGCATCGCCGATGCATCAGCGACGTGGGCGATGCATCGGCGACACTGGCGTGGAGAAAGTCGGGCTCCGCATCGAGCCACATTGCCGATGCATCGGCGATGCGGCGCGATCCTCCGACCCCATCTACTCGAATACCGTCTGGGAGGCCTAGACCTGATCTCCCCCTTCGAAGTCTTTTCCTCCTCTGACCATGGTGCTCTGGTGATTTTCGGGTCACAATCCACTCAAGCCTCAAGCGGCCGTTCGGGAAGATTCGGGCATACCCAGAACGCTCTCGGCGAGGCGCAGCCGCTGAAAGCGTCCCTAGGCTGGAAAACCGACTAGAGCCGACGAAAACGTCGGAAAACCGAGCCTCGACTATCGATATTATGTTGATCTGTCTGCGTCGAACATCCGCGGCGACTCGAGGGAAGCGCCGGGGGGGGCATCACCTTCATGCCGGCGCGCCCGGTTCGGCCGATGCGGTGGACGTAATCCTCCGTGTTGTTGGCGGGATCGTAGTTGATGACGAGCACGACGCCCTGGCAAGGCCGACGTGGGCAGTCATGCCGGACGGACGAGGCTACCCTGACTCCAGATCAGCCCTACTGTGAGCGATTCCGCAAGTAAAGCGGAAATTCTCGCCTTACTTGTCAGGTTTCTTGAACGTCGATTTCCGCCCGTGTGGTAAGGATGCATGGCTCTTGGACGCTCGAACTGAAGCTGAAGTTGGAATCCCATGGCCCATGGCCGAGCAAAAAGGATGCAAGGGCACCCTTGGACAGTTGCTCGTCCTTCTCATCCTGCTTGACTGTATTGGTGCAGCTTCTCACTGTCGTCCATCCCGCGATATCTGGCACCTTCGGCGCTGGCTGCTGCGAGCCTCTTCTGTTCAGTGTCTCGCGACACTTCTGCGTCGCCGTGCAGAGTCGCACAAGCAGATTTTTTTTTTATATATTAATCAACCCTGATCCCCAGAGCGACCCCTGAACGTCCCTGGTGCAGCATTTGACGCCACACTCCCTTCGCCACTGAGCTGTGCAGCGGCACCCAAAAGGGGGCGAGGACCGCGGGCGTGCCAGCGGCCCCGTGGGCCGCCCTGGTGGCGCACGCCACGGGGCGGCTCCGAGGGCCCCTCTGCAACTGAAACATCTTGCACTGCCAGAGAGGAGGAGGAGGGGGAGGAGGAAGAGAAAAAAGCAATCGCCTGGCTCCTCCAGGCATTGGCCACAATACGGTGCCTCCGTGCAGTGACCCTCAGTCGAGCCTCGAAATGCTGCTCGACAGAGCCAGGGATGCCGAGACGACGGTTATTGTGGGACGCAACAAAGGCGTCTATACATACGGCAAACAGAACATTAGATGACATCGGCGACGGTGACAGCAGAAGGAAGGGGAGGAGCCAGGGCGAACCCTCAGGAAACCACGACGACGAAATAAATAAGTGACCAAGCCAGCGACGGAAGAGAGCAGCAAGAAGAGGGCAATGACTGTAATGCTCAACAGAATCAAGATCCTGAGAACCATCATCTCGGCATCCCAACAGGCAACCAGCAGATCTGGCATGAAATCTACGCGAGGAACAAAGACCACGGCACAAGAAACGATATATGCCTACCAATAGATAAGGTTGGGTACTCTCGACTAGGACAAAGGAGTTCAGGAAGAAACGATCCATCATCGGAAGGGTTATCTGAGGGAACCATGCCGAAATCCGACGATAGAGGATACTGCGGGCATCTTCTCGAGGGCCAAAGTGCTTAAGACAGCGAGCGTATAGTAGAGCTTGGAGCTTGCGACTAGACTCCTCAACACGCGACGGGATGCTCATGTACCATGTGTACAGTGTGCGCATATAAGAAAGAAAGCTGGACTTCCACCAGCCGGTGCGAACCCGAACCATTATCACGTCATCGTCAAACTCGAGAGAGGATAGACGTGCAAACACATCTAAAACAGCAGGGCGCCTCAAGATATACCTCAAGCATGTCGCTCGGGCTAACGACGCCAGCTCAGGAAACTCAACAGGAAGATTAAGCTGGCGAAGCTGTGTACACATCGCATAACTGAATGCATTCCTCGGTCCAGCTGTGAGAAACATGACCGACTCACGATAGGCATGAAGTAGCTGCTTACTGATAGGGTTGAGCTGGAGAATAAAGCCAAGAACTGAAACACACATGACACGGAAAGCAACAGCAGCACGAGTAAGACCCAAGCCGAGTCGGCGAGAGGTCCCCACACGGAGCCTGAACTTACGAAGAGCCTCCGACCAGACCTCCGAGGAACCCCGAGGACCAATACACATCCCAAGGTATTTGACACAGTGAAGCACTTGAAGCCGTTTAATGTCCCCCTTCAGAATTTTGATGGAGGACCGAACCCATGAGATCTCAAGATTCCCAACCAGGAGTAACTGACATTTGTGATAATTGAGGCGAAGCCCCGCAATACGCTCCAGGTCCTCCAACTTGTGAAGGACAGGCCCCAGGGACGTAAATATATCAGGTAGACCGAAGCAGAAATCGTCCGCATACGCCAGCGAGAGCGAGATGTGAGACGCGAGCGATGCTTGGACCCATCGGAGCAACGGGTCAGCCGCCAAGACAAAAAGAAGCATGCTGGAAGGGCATCCTTGCTTCACTCCTCTCCCCATGCAAATCCTCCCATGCCTCTTCCCACCCAATACAATAGTGGCATACTGAGCTTGATACAGCAATGTGAAGAAACGAATAACTGCAGAACTGATGCCCATGCGGGTAAGCACGTGCAATAGCCATTGCGTCGCGAGCGAGGGGAACGCAGCACAGAAGTCGGTCATCAATAGGCCAGCGTTGTCATGACCACGAGCATACTGTTCTAACCCCCAGGCTTCAGCCTCGACTATGTTGGCTACCATGTCCCTGGCGTGCACACACTTCTGGGCAGGGGAGATGAGGGAAGAGGAATTGGCGGCAAGAGGGATCGACATAATACCCGCAAGGATTTTAATGTCCGTGTTGCTCAGATTGGGCAGCAAGCACAAGCAAGCAGATTAATACCCGTAAGGATTTTAATCGCACAAGCAGATTTGGGCTCTGGCGCAGGGCGGCGAGATGACAAGCAGCGCGGACGGAACCACACACGCTGCCACAGTCCCCCTTCGGAGAGGAGGCCGACGAAGGGAAAGCCCAGCCCCTGGCTCTCTCTGGCTCCGTGCGGCAACAGCGCAGGAGACGCAACGCGCACGAACCTCACGCTGGGCACCCAGGCTCGCTTGGCCACGGCCAGCTGCGGCCACGGAGGGTCCCCCGACCCGGACCGCACGAGGGGCCCGAAGACCCGAGCCCCTCCGGAGCCCGAGCTGGTCCTCTCCTGTCGGCGCCCTGGCCGCAGGCAGACGGCCTCGCGCCTCGGCTCCAGCTGCGCACGGAGGCCTCCCGGCGGCACAGCCGGCGGGGTCCCGAAGGGGAGGGGCGGGGGCACCCACGGCGCCGCCCCCCTCGGACCCTCCAGACCTGGTGGGGGTGGGGGGGAGGAAGGTCCCTGCCCTGCTATCCACGGATAATCCTCCTCCTCCTCCCTCTCCTCCTCCCTCTCCTCCTCCTCCCTCCTCCCTCCTCCTCCTCCT